TTCTGGGCTCCCCAGTACAAGAGAGACCTGGCAGTAGTGGAGAGAGTCCAGCGGAGGGCTACAAAGATGATGAGGAGACTGGAGCATCTCTCCTCTGAAGAAAGGCTGAGGGAGCTGGGCCTGTTTAGCCCGGAGAAGAGAAGACTGAGGGGGGATCTGGTTAATGTGTACAAGTATGTGAAGGGCGGGGGGTGTCGAGAGGATGGTGCCAGTCTCTTCTCCGTGGTGCCCAGCAACAGGACAAGAGGCAGCGGGCAGAACATATTGTCCAATATGTTATTTAATACCAGAGTAAACGTATATAGTGCATGTCTATTTTTCTTTATAGATAAACATGAAAATTTTTTTTCATGATAAAATGATAAAATGAATTCTGTAATGCATAATGACTGTAGCATAATTCATCTTCTTTGGTCATCCTATCTTTTCACAGGCAATTTTTTTCTGTTTCTTTGTAGAAATTCAGGATGCAGAAAATAAAATTGGTAAGAAAATTAATTTAAACTTCAAGGTCCTTAAAAATCATTTAAATTATTTATGATCAGAAATATCATTTTGGAAGTGAACTGTGGCACCATTTGGAGATTGCTGCAGCCCTTCACTTTCTCTTCCACGTTCTTATACTTTGTTCTTGCTAAAAGAGCATTTATCTGACCCAATCTCAGTGTCCAGAATGGCTATTCCCATAGTAAGGGAACACCATTTCAATCCTTTAAGGATCCAGTCTTTGCTGTAGCTGGCTGGAAAGCAAATTTTCCTTCCCATTAACAGCTTCATATTTTTGAAAACAAGAAACTGGGGGGAGGTGCTGTTTTTTGTTTTTGTTTTTGTTTTTTTTAATAGGCATTGTGACTCTTGGCCATATAAAGCTCTTCTTCATCTGACAGGGCCTGGAAGAATGGCTACATCTCCCATATATTCCTAGGTGGGATTCATCTCCCATGACTAGTAATCTGAATGCTTGACATCAAGGCTAAGGCAGTAGTCTTGGCTCCGTCACTGAGAGACAAAGGCATCCAGGAGTGGTTTCAGATAGGTGACTGAAACACTGAGATGAATCACCTTTTTATGTGCCAGTCTCTTTCTTTTGACTATATAGGCCCCTGTGACTGGCCTGGATTTATATAACGACTAGCCCTCCAAAGTTAAGCTAGATGTATCTTCTCCTGAGTCTTTAGGCCAGGTTATACTTAAATCATGTAGTTTTGGGAATACACACATTAGCACAGCTATCCTACAAATGAATATTGCCATGCATGGGGATAATATACCTTTCTTTCCATTTCAGAAATAGCCAGAAAAGAACTGGGTAAGTGGAAAACTCAAAACTATTTTTATCAAATCTGCACCCCTCTAACACAATATGGTACCAAAATATGGTATAGTAACTACTGTAGTAATTTTATTTAATCAGTAATTTCTTTTCTTGCAGAATTCAGGAGAGCTCGTAGCAAGGCAGGTAAGCCAAGCCTTGCCTGCCATTAACCTCATGTTCTTTCTTTCCCAGAAACAATTTGTGTTAAACCATTTCTGACAATCTATATTCTGAAATGAGGGAAAACGTCTATCTGACATACAGAAAAAGATTAACCCTGATGGGGTTTAACTGCCGAGACAAAAAGGAATTGTTGCTAAAACCTTGGCGTATGTGGAAATATTATTTACACCTGAGACAACATGTCTAGAAGAGTGAAGAGAATGTTAAGGTCTGGCTTTGCTGATATTTCTCCATATAAAAGTTAATAAGTATCCAGATATGAGTGGGACAAGACCTCAGACTGCTATTTGGGATTTAGGCCTGAGGTTTTGGGGAAGTTAAGTGGATCTAGTACACACCGGAGTCTGTCACTTGTGTTATGAAAAACAGGCTGTCAGAATTGGAGCAAATTTGTAAGCCGTTTAGATGCCAACTGGTTGAAATAGATTTGCTTAGATATCTCCCACCTGTACACTTCTCAGTGTTGTGCATTGGGGTGATTCATTTCTCTGTCAACTGGGACCTTTTAAAATGACTTCAGAAGATTCAGCTTTGTGTTTTATTCAAAAAATCAATTGCCAGATGGGTCTGACCAGAGGGTCTGGATTCTCTCAGTCTGAGTAAAGATGATTTCATAAAGCCACTGTGCAACCAGAGAAAAGACATGGTAATCAATTATTGGTAACTAATTGAGAGTGTTATAGCGTCAGAACTTCATCCTTCCTTGCTGTGGCTTAAAATTATTTTCCCTACTGAATTTTTGTCGCACAGAGTCATGCTACATGTTCTTGGGTTATTTAGTTTTTTTATTTTAGAGTTTCTCTTCTTTATCTACTTCCTTTGAGATTACTGTTGTTTATTTTCCTGAGAATCAGAAATGACTTGGTGTTTTGTGTTTTTTTCTTCTTTTTTTTTCTTTTTTCTTTTCTTTTTCAAGTTAATATTACCCTGGATGAGAACTGCAAAGATCCAAAACTCATCATTGAGGAGAAAAATAGAGTCAAGTCTTCCATTCAGAAAGAGGTCACACCTAAATTGATTGTCGTAGCTACTGAAGGGTTTTCAGATGAAATCCATTACTGGGAAGTGGAGGTGGGGGACAAGTCAGAGTGGGAGCTGGGGGTGGTGAGTGAGGAGATTAGGAATACACTGAAGGGCAGCAAGTCGAAGCCTTTTCTAGAGGGATGCTTCAGTTTGCAGTTTTCTGAGGGCAAATATAGTCTAACTACTGGGGAGGACATGAGAAATTTGAAGCAATGCACTGTGGTTGGTGTTTCCCTGGATCAGGAAGAGGAAGTGCTTTCATTCTATAACGTTGAGGAAAAGTGCCTTCTTGGATCTATCTCTCTTGATTTTTCTGGGAAGCTGTACCCATTCTTCAGTCCAGGCCCTGATGACAAATGGTTGGGGATACGTCCTGTCAGCATTGCAAACCCATTACCCTCTCTATGAAGCTCTTCCACAGGACCAAGAAGACATTAATATATTGATCACAGAGGATGCAAAAGGAGAGAGGAAGAAAAAAAATGTATTTTCAGCCTTTAAAACCATGCTTGAGAAAGAAATACTCTCGAAAGTACTTCAAAAGTCTTTGTCTCCTGCTAAGAACTAATTTTGTAAAAATCTAGACTTATTACTTGTTGCAATTTTCTAGCATTTCACCTGGACTAATGAAGCATGAATTTATTTCCCTGTTTGTTACATTTGTTGTGCATTCACTTTTATCAATAAATCCATAGATTTATTTACTAGGAAGAATATTAATGCTAATTGCAAATTTTATACAAAGTCAAAAACTACTGATCAGAAATCAAATTGGGACCTATGAAATGCAAGTTGTCTTTTTGGAATTCTGGTTGTAAGCTATATTCAGGCATTCTAGAGTGAAAGGCAGAGTACTTACTGAATGTGATAAAACTCTCTCCTTTAAAGCAATACCTCCTAAGTAAATGCTTATATTTAAACATCAGTTAAGATAGCTTGACTTGAGGAATGGGAGTCAACAGCTAGATTCTGCTGACCGTATTTAAAAGCCTAATTTAATCTGAGCTGCTAAGAAAAATGTGATCTATCTGCATAATGCTATCAGATAACATGGGATTTATGGGAGTAGCTGCTGAAGATGCAGTAAGATATGATATGGCATCTCAAATGGCAATAGATGTCTATCTTCAGACAAGTGAATCACGCTCCTTTCTCTACTGACTCTAAAGGCAGCTTCCAAAACACTTACTTGCATATAGACACAGAATTAGGTGTCTTAATTTTCAAGCTGAATATCATCTGTAATTTAAGGTGAGCCAACACTAAAAATGAAGTTAGCTGACTATCACCATTTCAGCTGAGTTTACAGCTCTCATGAATAAAAGCGGACTGAACAACTGAAATGACAGTCGGGGAACACAGTCAGTGTCGTGAGATGTGTTCCTTCAAACCACGTAGCTCAATTACTCAAAGCAACCAGTCTCTTGAAAAATGACCAAGTCAGAAAAGGGACAGATTCATTAAAGCAAAGGTAGGACATCAATGTGGGCATGTATTATTATCCACTAGCCTGCCTTTGAGGAATGTAATGCTTTCCTATACAATGCTCGCTTTGCCTCCTTCTTTTTCTTTTTGTGCATTTAGACTAAATACCAGACTGTTGCAAGTCATGGTGTACTCCACAGGTGACTATTAATCTCTGTTAATCCAGATGACCCAATGTCTTCTAAGTTTCATAGATAATGCTCCTTTATTTTTTATTTATTTTCCCCCAATGGTAGTTCATCAAGAGAGGACTCAGAGAACATGCTTGCTGGAGCTTATGTAGATTGCAGGTAAAAGATAATAGTACAAGGAAATAGTCTCTGAAATGTGGCCATAAAGGTATGGGGTAGGGCCTGCCAAGGGTCAAAAACTAATTGATTTAGCCTGCTTGTGACAGGTGCTGTAACAGAAGGAAAACGGTGGTAGTAAGACACAACTAACGGGGTCTGTGTGCACAGAAGAGATGTAGTGTTGCAGCTCTGTGGGCTGCACTGCTTGTCTGAAGTATCTGGAGATAGGACCCTGGAAAAGTTTCCAGGGAGATTTCCACTGTGGCAGCCTGGACCACCATTCCTCTCTATCAATCAGGTGTCCTGGAAGCAGAGTGAAAGGATCATGTGACATCTGCTTGATAGCCCTGTTATCCTCCTTAACCCTTGGAAGGAACTTATTTACAGAGATCAGCTCTCCATTGTGGCAGCAGGGGAAAATTTTTTCTGAATGTACTTCTACAGTAGACTAGCATCTTTCCATGTTTGCAACAGCTCAAAGCAGAGAGGTTGGGAATGAGAATGCACATCTGTATTTATTGACTACGGACAGCTAGCTTACACTTAGATGAGAACTTTTTTATTAGAGAGAAAGGAAACTCGCTCTTTGCCTGCACTAAGTGAAAAGCCATACCCACTCCCTGAGGCGGAGGTCCCTCTGCATTTACCAGGGTGAACAGCACAAACTGCAGCTACTCCAGAATAGTAAACATACTGAACTTCACCTCTCTGGGGCAAACTCTTAGTTGTGAAGCTACTCCTCTCTGACTTTAGCTGTTGCTATGGAAAGCCAATTTAGCAGTATTGGTTACCTACTCTGTAATATATGTTGAACCCCACTGCTGTGCAGAGTGATTACAATTTACTGTGTCAAATATTAAAAAAAATTTAAATTTAAGGAAGACTTCCCTCAAGAGAAGGGGAAGAAGCAGAGGTGAAAGCTAGGACTGACATGCTTCCAGGCCGAGCATGAACATGCTCACTGGCCCCATCACAGACACCCTTCCTTTCCTGCTGGCTGGGCAGTTTTGCTCAGCTTCCAATTTTTTGCTCTGTTTCATGTGGTTTTATACTTCTTTTGTGTCAGTATTTTTTCCTTCTGATTCCATGAGTTCATAATAAATGTCGTCTCCACCATATAACTTCCATCTATGTCTTTCCTTTCCGTATCTTGCATGGGTTTAGTTTTTTGGGCTCTCTCACAGTTTGACATTTTTCCATGTAAAAAATCCAAGGTCCTACCGCTGCTCTGTGTTAAACCTGGGGTCACAGGCACCTGAATCCCTGGGCTGTGAGTTACAAGTGGTCACTAACTTTTTGCTATGAACTTGTAACTTGTTTGTAAGTCGAGTCTGAGTTTACAACCTGGTTTAATTTATCTGAAACTTTCTTTGCTGGTAAAGATGATGCCGGAGAAGATCTAAAAATTTTGATGCTGACAAAAAATCTTACAAAATCCAAAAGCCTTTAATTTTTCTAGGATTTTTTTTTTTAAATTCACGAAGCACTGCTTCCCAATTTTTTAGAAAAGTGAATTTCTCAGGCCACATCAGAGGTGGGCTGCCATAGTCAAATAACGACTCTTATAGCCAGTTTTATTCTCCAGAAGTCTTCCAGTTAAAAACTGATACACAAACTTGTTTCCATGAACAGAAAACACTGTTTACTGGATAATCTTTATATAAGAGGAGATGAATTTGTGGGATGGAGATGCAAAATCTAAAATCAATCTAATGAGATGACTTCTTAGCTTCCCCTGACACTACAAGGAGAGAAATAGCAGCTCACCCCAGAAGGTAGTTTAGAGGGAAATTCATCTCCAACAATTGTCTCCGAGAGCATCTCTACTTGAGTGAGGTCTTTAAACTCTTGTTGGAGTCACTGTAGCCAATGGTATGAGAGCGCCCACCACAAAAAATGAGATTGCAAGTGTCTGATGCACAGGACTTAATTTCAGAGGTGTTACTGGGTAAGCTGCTCTGAAGTTGTGACCACAAAGACACTGGGCTGCACACTGTGCTTGACAAAGCAAATCAGGTAAGTTCAGCACACAGACACTCAGTTAAAGGAAGGGAGCGATGCAAAAGTGAGACACAATTAAAAAACAAATGAATCAACCCTTAAAGGTGGAAATAAAAGGAAATAAAAGGTGTAAAGGCTGTTGCTTGCTTCTACTTGACCTCTGTCTAACCAGTTATACTTCTGAGGTAACAGTTACACTACTATTTGCTTCCCAGGGATACAGTTAGTTCCTTCTTTGATATACAAAATTATTGTTCATAGCTTAATAGAAGGGAGCTCGCCTAAGGTCAGCACTTTTCTGTTCTAAGCATTTATTTCAACTCAGTGTATCCTAGATTTCTTTTCCAGGCAGAACTTGATAAGACCAGATTCTTCCAGCTTCATCAGATTCAGATGTAAAAGAGAAGCATCCAAAAATTAGGCTTTTTTTTTTTTAGTTTTTAGGGGCTTTTGATTGGTCACTGCCACTTTCCTGATGGCCCTGGGGAAGGACCATTGAATAGCAGAAAATTCTGAAAAATAAAGGAAAGAACAGCCTGCGGCTGAGATCACTATTAAGCAAAAGCCAAGAAAACAATGTAGAAGAGGAGGAAAAGATTTTTTAGGGATGCCTGCAAGGTGAGTCATGCTAGGAATTCTCCACGTAAACTCAGATACATATATCAGACAAGAGCTGACAAAAAATGTAATCAGCTGTAGCTATATTAAACAATACCTGACCAGAGCTGACATGAGTGTACTGGAAGGTCTGTTTCATGTTGACCACACGGCTATTGGTTAAACTAATTCATTATTTTGAGTACATATCATTGTGATTGTGGATAGAGCTGCCTCCCTGAAGTGGTCTGCAGAGTCATGGTAACCCCTTTCAACAGGGCTAAATAGCTGTTGTGTGGAGCTGTGATTTGTGGCTTTTCTATGTCTAATGTCTCTATTCACTCAGGTATCTCATTAATACTTTTAAGTGAAATATGTAGATATACTAGAGATGGACAAAATGGTTGCACAGGAGAACATCAATGCTGAAAGATGCACAATCCTGTGCATTGAGGAAGGGGATCTAAGATTTTCAGAGGGCTTTATATGCTTCTGAAGACAGAGAAGCCTTTCCAAACTTCTAAGAATTCCACTCAGAAAAGTGAGGGAGAGGGGGTACCTTTATAGCGTGTGCCTTTTTTGAGGTGTGTGTGTTTGCATTTATGAGCTGGGCTTTGTACATGAATGTAGATCCACTGCCACAGTGCAACAGTCCAGAATGAAACCTCAGGGAATGGCTGTCATTGAAATGTGTTAACAGAATTGGAATTATCTTAAGGAGACACTCTCAGATACACACTTAAAGAACGGTGGCATGGGGCAATGTTCTCTTCTGCCTACAGAGTGTATATATTGGACAAAATGCATACAAAAATGAAAAAAAGGGAAAGATTTTAAACAAAAGTATTAAACAATATGCAACATGAAATATATGATCAAATACATATAATGCATAAATTGCTATTAAGCATTACATTTGTCAAAGAAAAAATGATCTGATTTTTCATTTCACAACAAAATCATCATATTTAAATAATTATTCCTCTTTAACTGAGCAGATTCTCATTGCTGATTCTTTCTGTGAATTTTTAAAGAATGGATACACTTCTTCTGAGAATGCACAGTCTTTAAATGTGAACATCACAGACATGTCAGTTACATTGAAAAAGGTCAAATATTTCTCTTCACAGCTAAGGTAAACTCCAATTTTCCTGGGCTTTTTCTGCACCATGATCCGGGTCCAGGGGTCAGTTCTTGCCCAGTAATCTTTTAAACTTGAGCCCAGAGCCCAGAATCCTTCTTTCAGTGATAGGGAAATTATTCCTTTCCTCTGGATGGATTTTCTGGCTACTCCCAGGTCCCAGTCATTGCTTTTTTCAACTTCCACCTCCCAGTAGTGTTTCCCAGAGGAGAAACCTTCTGAGCCCAACACGCAGACAGCTGAATCGAATCTCCCTTCATTCTGAGTCACTTTCTGAGCTTGTGAATTATGCCTAAAACTCTTCCTGTCCTCAGCAACAGAAAAGTTTGGATGGGCCGTGCCCACATCAATCTTGATGTCATCTGCAACAAATAGAATTTGAGCTTTTATAATCACTTCTCTAAAGCCAAATATGCAAGAAGAGAAAGAAACCATATCCTACAGACTTTCATCTTGAAAATCTCCCCACAACTAGTCTAGAAAGACCTCTAGCCTAGAGTTTAGTCATACATTATTTGCATTTTAACTTTAAAATACTTCATTGCCAAGTGAAACTTATTTGAAAAAAAACCCTCAACGTAACACCCATCCTAGGCAGTACACTGCAGTAAGTTACATAGTTGGGCAGGGTGATCTATTAAACGAGGTGCCAGTGCAATTTTGGGGATCAACTTCACCTTCTAAGGAGCCACTCTAAAAACCAGAGTTTTGGTGGCTTCCAGAGGAAAAAAGATGAAAATGTCAGAGAAGTTATTACAGCCCTAATACACTTGAAATCTGACAGGATCCCATGAATGCACAGTGTCTGATACCATTAGTTTAGATCTGAAGAAACTTTGAATAGATCAGTGGAGTTGAAAGGCAGTGATTTAGGTATAAAGAGGAGTAGGATCAAACTCAAACCACTGCAATATTTTTATAATTTATTTTTTTGTGGTAAACTTTCCTGATTAAAAGACTCCATTCTTCTTAACTTTACTGAGTTCTCTCACAGAAGGGGTTCCATAGTGCTGCTAGGCCTCCTCATTTTCATCCAGAAACTGTACTATTCTACAAAATCATTATAAGAAGACAAAAGCTACTTATAGAAATCAGGTTCTTTTCACTGAACGTGTTTGGCAGGGATTTTTAGTTTTTGCTTCTTTTCAATAACCTAAGAACACTTAAAGCTGACATTTTCACATTTAGTCTTTTCTTTGAACGATGTTGAAATGTTCCAGTGAAACATTATTCTCAGTGGACACACTTAAACCTTTTAATCATCTTTCTTAGCTTAATAGTGACTGAATTTTAAGATTTGGGGTTAAAAGCTTTAACTAAATCTGAGGTAAAGCAAATCTCTATATCACAGGAATAAAAGATGTTGAACTGACTCACAGTTCAGTCCATGCTCAGCACTGTTTAAGCTGTGTGCACAGGTTCCATGGTGGCCCCCAAGCCACCGAGTACACATAAGTAAATGTATTATTTTTACCTGCATATCCACGAACCTTTCGGAATTCTGAAAAAAAAAATCAAATAGATAAAAAAAAGAATGAAAAGATTTTCCAGCTCCAAGTTTTCCTACAGTTGGCAGAAAAGAAATCTCAGACTTAAGTCAGGCTACAATCACAAAACAGGGAGGTCAAACTATGCAGAGAATATAACAGGTCAACTGATATTCAGATTGTCTCTCACTTACTCTTTCAAGTCCTATGATTACCTGTAAGGTCTCAATAAAGATCTGAAACTAGGATGAGACTGCTGGCCTGCTTGGAAACTACTTTTCCTCTCTGGTCCCTTGAAGTCCCATTTGCCTAGGGATCACCCAAACAGCCATCCCTCACATGCCGTACTCCACATTTCAAACTGCCTGAGCTCTCTCATCAGTAGCTTGGCATTTTTGGAGATGCAGAAAGAGAGCCCCATGTGACACTCAGGGAGATAACTTTCAGCTACATTTCACACATTTCTCAGGCTCAGGTGAATATGAAGGAACAGCTTGGGTAACTTTTCCCTGCATTGCCAGCAAATCCTTTGAAGGCAGGAGGAAATGCAGTTTCCTGGTGAGCCTCTGAGCCTGTATAACTGTGACAGCTTTGTGGGATGGTGGCTGGGGAGGCAAGGACAGCAGAAAAGATGTGCCAAATGTAGAACCCGCAAGATGAATGGAGCTGCTGAGAAGTCAAGTCCTACAGGTAGATATTAAATATTGGTCAGGGTAGAATCAGTTGAGCTTGTGCTTTGCGTGTGAGAGCTGTCAAGATAGACATGACAGCAAAAGCTCATGAAATCCTGTGACGCCAATTTAAGGGACTTGCTCAAAGGTAATTATCTATATGAAGACATGTCTAGTTTGGGGTGAATGACTTAGTGTGTGAGTAAAACACACTGAGCAGATAGGTGTGAGATGTGCACCTGGAACTGTCTGCAGAAAAGGCTTTGAAACCCCCGGAATACAAATTACAAATCCTAAATTAATTGCACTGGAAAATAGAAATCCATCCCTTTGTCTGTACAGACTTCCCCTTTCCCTAGGTTTAAGCCTTAGAGTTAGCCCATGGGGATTTTATAGCCCAAGAAAGTGCTGAATTTAGTCTGAGGGATGTGGACAAGGAAACAAAGAGATGGTCCAGTTTTTCTCATTATGGAGACCAATCGCATATTGTGACTCCAAGATTCCTGAGAAAAAATAGGGCCAATATCCTTCTCTGGATAAGAAATAGGTGTGAAGTGGTAGTTTGGGGAAGAGCCTCGTAAAGTCTTTTTGTTCCTGCCAGTAGAAGGGGAAGAGGAAGAAGAAATGTAGTGACTATGATTTTGCATGTATCCATCTCTCTGAACAGCAGGAGCCTCCCTCATGCTGATTGCTACCCCTGCAGCAACCAGATTTGATTTCTGGGTACTGCCACAATTGTATAAATGCTTTGGCCGTAGCCACTTTGCCACTTTGCTGCCCTGGGAATATGTTGCTGGTGGATTGCCCAATTCACCTGAGATGAGATCCACTTCAGAGAAGCAAGAATATCCCAGGTAGTGCAAAGCAACAGACAGTTGAGGAACTGGGTTTGGGCACAGAAACAAGGGACGTGTATTTCATTAAAACAAAAGCTGCAACTTAACAGACACCAATAGACTCACCAATTTCTCTCCTCTGGTCCACTGCAAACAAAATAGACAGAAAGGAAGCGTTACTATGGTATAGATGTCAGTACTTGTCACTATTTGAAGCACTACAGGGTGGCTTGTGATTTGCATAAATCCATTAATATCAAAGTTCAGCCAGTTCCTGTAAAGCCATATATCAGTCCACTAGTTCTGGAGGCTCCACAGATTTTTCATCCAGTCAGATCTACCTGACATTCACAATCGTTGATTAATGGACTCTTGTCTTCCCCATTCATGCAAGGAGGATCTTTTCCAACAAGGAAGGTTGGAAGGTACAACAAACAACTAGCAGAGGGTAACATATAAAAGTATAGCCAGTTATAAAAGCTGGAGGTGACGACAGGGCATGGCAAGAATTAAGTGTCTTAACAAAAGGAATCGAGCACCATTGTGACAGCCACGGATAACTCCCTTTGTGGGAGAGAGTTATATCATGTTTCAGATCAGTTTTCAAAACAGAAAAAGCTTCTTGTGGATTGAGCAATACATTTTAAACAACTACAGAGATGTACATATATAAAAGATAAAAAGCCACTGAAGATAAACATCTCCCCAAGCCTAAAGGAAGAAAGTATCCCCCTATACCAGTCATTAGGATCCAATTTAAAAAAAAGACCAAGTCCACACAAAGAACAAGAAGAAATTCACCTAACAACACTGCACAGCCTGCATGGTTGCTAACTAAATGGCTGCTAAAGCCACACCTAGGTCAGGCAATGACAGCAAGACCCAGGACACAAAGATTCAACAATCCATCTACATTCCACAGTGTGATGAAAGAATAAGATATAAAAAATAAGATATTTAAAGTTGGTGCCCCAAAACCCCAAACCAAAAAGAAAGTCAAGACCACCCCACAACTGGTCAATAGGCCAAAGGGAGAAAAATTCAACATGAAACACATGTGAAAAAAGTTGCCATCGATAACAGACACAGCCTACACACAGAAGGGCAGACTCACCATTCTCCTGCTGCAGTTTCTCTGTCAAAACACAAGGGGCAAGGAGAACTGCTTGGTTAGCACGCCATGCCCAAGAAAGGCGAGCAAGCCACGTGTCCCCGCGGGCCCTGCGCACTGCCTGCACTGCCAGAGGCTCACATGCCTGGCAGCACCCTTGTGAGCGGGTGGTGCCAGGAGCTCTGCCCGCACCTGTCCTCAGCAGGGCACCCCGCGAGAGGGCCATCCCCACCACTGTCACCTCTGCCCTGCAGACCTGCCCACGCCTTGCCCCCGCAAGGACACCCGCTCGCCCCCTGCACAAGCACACTTACCAATCTGCCGCTCCCTGTGGGCTGAAAGACAAAGACATCCCGCATCAGCTCCACGCCTGCCCTTGGCAGCCCCCAACCAACCAAAAGCAAGAGGCCAAAGCCACCCCAGGCGTGGACAAGGCAGCAGAGCCCACGGCTACCCAAAGCCTGCTGCCGGATGGAAACCCCCCGAACCACCG